AAGCAAATCTTGAGAAAGCCGGAGCTCGCCAGCCGAATGATTGCATGGTCAGTTGAGTTGTCCGAGTTCGGCATCCAGCACAAGAGTCGTGGCACCCTAAAAACTCAATGCCTAGCCGACTTCATAGCCGAGCTCACGCCCATTTCTGCTGAGGAACCCCAGGTATGGACTTTACACGTTGACGGGTCCTCCAACTCTAAGGGTGGTGGTGCAGGTAGCATATTGGAAGGACCAAACCAAGTCACTTTGGAGCAATCTCTCAAGTTCAACTTTAAGGTGACCAATAACCAGGCGGAGTATGAGGCACTTCTCGCAGGACTGAGGCTAGCTTGCGACCTCGGGGCCCGAAGAGTGAGTTGCAACAGCGACTCGAAGCTCATGGTGGAGCAGCTAAGTGGGACGTACCAGGCAAATGATACTCTTCTACAACGGTACTTCCACATCGCATCCCAACAGATCTCGTCCTTCGACGAGTTCACCATACAACATGTGCCGCGAGAACAAAATGCCCGAGCCGACCTCTTATCAAAGCTCGTCAGCACCAAAAGACCTGGACAGCACCAGACTATCATCCAGGAGACCTTGCACTCACCCAGCCTGGACGACAAAGTCGTCAATACTAGCGACAGCGAAGACCAGGGGTGGATGACAGGAATCTGGAGTTACTTGAAAGAAGGAATCTTGCCCAAAGACAAGGACGAAGCTCGGAAGATGAGGATGAGATCGGCCAAGTTCGTAATTATCGGGGATGAGCTATTCAAGCGTGGCATTTCTACCCCACTGCTCAAGTGCTTGACCGCGCCTCAGGCAGCCTACGTGATCGAGGAAATTCACCGGGGCATATGTGGCATGCATTCCGGAGCACGCTCAATGGCGACCAGAGTACTCCGAGCTGGATACTACTGGCCCACTCTGAAATCGGATTGCCAGGACTACGTACAAAAATGCAAAGAATGCCAGCAGTTTGGCAACACACACCGACAACCGCCTGAATCTCTCCACCATATGATGTCGGCATGGCCTTTCTCCTAGTGGGGAATGGACATCCTCGGGCCATTCTCCCCTGCGAAAGGTCAGCTCAAGTTCCTCCTAGTGGCGATCGACTACTTCACCAAGTGGATCGAGGCATGCCCACTCGCAAAAATCACCACCGAAAATGTGCAAAGGTTCATCTGGAGGAGTATTGTTTGCAGATTCGGAATCCCTCACACCCTCGTTACTGACAACGACCGGTAATTCATCGCACAGGGATTCGAGGTCTTCCTCCGTGAGCTCGGCATCAAGCATCTCCCAACCTCGGTAGAACACCCCAGACCAATGGCCAAGCCGAAGCAGCCAACAAGGTCATTCTCCGGGAACTTAAGAAGCGGCTCGGGAACGCCAAAGGACAGTGGGCCGACGAGCTCCCCAGCATCCTTTGGGCATATCATTGCACCCCACAGTCAACCACGCAAGAAACACCTTATAGGCTGACCTACGGAACTAACGCAATGATCCTAGTGGAAGTCGGAGAGACATCCCACCGACGCCAAGTTTTCAACAGCGAGCAAAACGCTCGAGAGTTAGCAACCGACCTCGACTTGGTTGACGAGCTTAGAGACGAAGCTCAAATCCACGAAGAAGCCTGCAAACTCTGAGCTTCCCGAAGATACAACACCTGGGTGCGGCCTCGCTCTTTCCGAGTTGGCGACTTGGTATGGCGATTGCTAGGCGAAGCACGGAAAGACACGTCAGATAGGAAGCTTGCACCCACTTGGGGTGGCCCATTCCGAGTTACAGAAGACTTGGAAAATGGAGCGTACCGACTAGAAGAGTTCAGCGGAAAACCTATACCGCAAACTTGGAATGCTACGCATCTCAAGTTTTATTTCAGCTAATTTTGTACGAATGAGCTATGCACTCTTTTTCCGCCTCATTCTTTTATAAAAAAAAAAACAGAAAAATGGGTTTTGGCTGAGAGGGTTTTTAACGAGGCACACTTACACAATCAATAAAATGACTCATTCTGTTCAACTCATATTTTCTTAGTTCCGCATCATTTTATGTTTTATACTAAATAAAGGTCGAGTTCAAACTTTCGTACAATTCACTCTGCTTTAATCCAAGGTCGAGTTCGAACCTCGGCATGATTAACTCAAGGTCGAGTTCGAACCTTCACAAGAGTTACTTAACGAAAATTCGAGGTCGAATTCGAACCCGGCATGATTAATTCAAGGTCAAGTTCGAACCTTCACAAAGAGTTACTTAACAAAAATCCGAGGTCGAATTCGAACCCCGGCATGATTAACTCAAGGTCGAGTTCGAACCTTCACAAGAGTTACTTAGCAAAAATCCGAGGTCAAATTCGAACCCCAGCATGATCAACTCAAGGTCGAGTTTGAACCTTCACAAAAACTACCTCACGACGATCCGAGGTGAAGCTCGAACCTCGGCATGATCAACTCAAGGTCAAGTTTGAACCGTAGCACAATTCACTCCGCCTCGAAACTCAGTCTGAGTATCACAAAGTATAAAAGTACACAACAGACATTAAATGTGTGTCTCAAAACGTGCAAATAAGAAAAAATCAAGCCTAAACACAAAGGCAAAGAAAAGCGCAATGGAAAATAGACAAAAAATACATATATAGACAGCAATGTTTTCGAAGTTCCACACTTGAATTCAAGAAGAAAAATAAAGCAGAGAAAATTAAGCAATTATGCTTATGTGGCAAAAATTAGTATTTCAACGTGTAAATGTAATGTTGCATTTCATAACTTTTATAATAAAAAAAATTATCTTGTTTTCATATGTCAACTCTCTCATTTTCTTGATTTTTTTTATTTATGATTGTGCCATTAAAAAATCACAATTGTAAAGTCTCTATTGGATTCGCATATATAGAGATGGGTTAGGTAGAATATTTAGAAGTAAAGAGTTGTAAATAAAAGATAAAATTGTTGTGAAATTGACATGTTTGTGACATTAATTAGTAGAGGTGGGTTGAATTGAACGTTAAGTAGTGAGAGTTGCAAATAAAATACAAAATTATAGTAAATTGACATGTAAACAATCATGCTTGTGTGGCAAAAATTTGTATCCTGACTTGTTACATTAACACTACATTGCTCAAATTTTGTATTATAAATAGATAAATAGATATATGATCATTAATGTGTCAATTAGTCATTATACATCTAAAAATAAACATATAAAAGGAAAATAACTCAATTAGGTAAATAAATGAAGAATGTCGATTAAGTATATATTGAAGACTAAATTACACTTTTAATTTCTTTTTACTTTTCAATCCATAATTTTTGTCCTTCCTTTTTTTAATTATGCAATTTTTGTCTCCTAATTTTTAAAATTAGGCAATTTAAGTCCCTTTTATTAATTAAACTATAACATGGCGTTAATATTGATATAGACTAGTACAGTTACATGATTACTCATAAGAACTAATGAGATGATATCGATTAGTAATTACATGATGACTCATATGAACTAATGAGATGACGTTTTAGTGATGACACAAGTTAATAATCTAGCATTGACATTTAAAAAAAATACAAGATTTATTTAGAAAATATAATATATGAGAATTAGAATTCATGACCTTCATGATAAAACTTCCCATTTAAATCACTAATGTCACTCAACTTTTATTATAACTTGGATAATATATTATATATAATATTACTGTTTGAGTTAAATGTTTTTTTAATTTATTATTTAATGTTTATATAGTTTAAAATTAAATAATAATAAATTTATTTATTAAAATTATAAATTTTTAGTAAATTAATTATATAATTTATTGTTTATTATATTTTTATGCAATAAATATAAACATACAACATTAAATATATTGTATGTTAATTTTTTAATCTTAATTTCCTTAAAATATTTATCATTTAATATAAACATACAATATAAGCTTTTATTAGGGGAGCCTGTTTTAATTTATATAAAAAAAATTAAAGTATTTCATAAAAACTTTTCATTCCAATTTATTGTGGACCTGATACATGGTTGTATATGAACGATTAAAATTAAAAATTAATAGATGACTATGTAAGAAATTATGTAAATTTATTTTTTTTAATATTAATCATTTCTATAATATCGATTAGTCTATCAAAAGCCAAATGTTCTCGTCATGAGTAAGTTGACCAAATATAATTGAATTTATTAATTTATTTTTGAGTATCAATGAACTGTGAGATGACTTGATTCTTCCAGAATTCAGAAGTCGCGAATGTAGACCTATAAGTAAAAATTTTCATTCTGAAAACTTTCGCATTGCTTCTAAGCCACTAGCAAGTGTCAATATTGTCAAGACTTAAAATAAATTTATGTTGGACGAAAATCAACTGTTTTTTAGTAGTTGATAACAGAAAATCAGCCGTTATTATTTGGATAACAGTAGTTATTATCCTCAGAACAGAAGTATCCATTTCGTGAGTGATTTTCTGTTATCCAGACTGTTGTTACTTAATTCACGTCAACAACAAATTTCGTCCAACAATTTAAACTTCAAAAGTGCTAATTTAAACTTGGATTACAGGTCTATGGCATATAAAATTAAGTATTTATTTCTTCTTTATTTGCACGTACTCTTTCAACTGTTCATTCGGATAATGGAGTTCCCAAACTGAGGAATGTTATTCTAACTTTATTAATTTCCTCATCTCGAAAAAAAATTTAAGTCCCACATTAAAATTAGATACTTATATAATATATAAATGAAAAATAATTTTTATTTTATAAATTAATTTTGATATCCTAAATTCTTAAAAAAGATATAATTATTCACAATATATAATTATCTACAATCATTACATATAAAAGAAAGGAAAAAACTTGACTTACTTTTAAATTTAATTTTATACAGCAAGTTAATTTAAATTAGAGACGAATAATTCAAATAAAAAAAGGGAGGGGGGGAGGCGGAAGATAATATTTACCAAGACCTGATCAAATAAATATGCAAGCAGCGGATAGAGCATGGCAAAATGTAATAAATCTCAAACTTTTGGATATAATGGTCTTATAAAATATCTATTTATCTACTCTACTTTAGGATTCTATAGTTAAAATTGAAGGAAAAAAAATCTCAATTATGTATGCATCACACTATCACATGCATATTATAAAACCGTGCTTATATATACAATATATATGCACGTCAGAAGATCAATGAGTCAAACATAGAGAAGAAATTAAGCTTCAACATCAGGGGGCATTCCAGTGACTTGAAGCTCAGTTGACTTCTTGACATCATCATTGTTTTCTCCTCTGCAGCAGTAGCAAGCATACAGTATGAGCTGAACAAGTCCAGAGACTGCTCCAATGCTGTTACTGATCTGCAAGAATATACAAAGGAAACATGGTTCACAGAAGTTTAATTCAAGAACTACAATGACCCAGATAAAAGAAAAAATGATACAAAGTGAAGTAACTATGATTACCAGAACATAGAGGTCGAAAGGGTGGATGAGAGCATATGATGTCCAGCACAAACCATTCAGGAAGTTAGTCAGAGAGAGCCAGAATGGCATGTATTTCACGCTCTTTGTTTTTATAACCTTTGCCTGTTCATTAATTATTTATACCACAATACCATTAAAAGTTAGAATGAAATTTTGTATAATATAGACTTCAATTCATATGTGAAAGTATGATCTCATAATGTAAGTTAATTATGGGATATAAATTCAAGACTTACCATGATTGTAAGAGGAGACACATACATCATAATATTGAAGACATCACAGAGAATACCAACTATTAATGACCTTCGGGTAGTCCCATGCAGTGCCAGCATTGTTACAAGAACAACGACAGCAAAGAAAATAGCCTCAATGATAAGATAAAGCACCACCTTCTTCTGAAATTAAGTAAGAAAGACGGTGAGTGGTAGAACAGAAATGATGCCAAGCATCTTTTACACATTCTTAATTAAGCAACTCAGTTTCGGGACTTCAAAATTAATTGAATTAAAAAGAAAGCAAAAAATTTGAAAAATAGAAGTTCATTTAATGAAATAGATTGTGTATTTTATAGTATCTCTTTAAGTAAATTTTTGTAAAAGTATCTCTTTCAGTCAGTTTAGCAGAGCTCAAAAATAGGCATGCATTTCTATACAAGTATATTTTCCACGAAATTGTATTTTCCTCTGTAGTCTATACAAATATAAGCAGAGAACAAGTTTTCATAATTCGCATTAAGGATCAAATTAGCGTGGAAAGGAAAAGGATAAAGAAAAGTTGTTTAACATCAAATCAATAAATTGAAAGATGTGTATACTAAACAGGTGATATTTTATAGTAAAACAGGACCAGAATATTTCCTTTTATAGTAAAACCGCAAGACAGAAAATTTCCACATAATTACGGGATTATATCTTACGCATCACACGAATATTGCTAATTTTGATCAGCATCCAGTGTATTTTATACTATATTAATTTATCCATATTGAAGAGGTTTACAAGCATATATACTTATAACACTAATTACCAATAGGCAAAACTTCCAAATAAGTAATGATATAACAACTCACTCGTCCTTTGGTGGTTGCGTAGGTGAAAAATATGGCAAGGTATACGAACTCGAACACAAGCCCAATGCTATTGATGGTGACGACTAAAAGGCTATGAGGATGCACAAAAGGCATTCCATAGAACACCCAAAACGCACAATTCAACACCGTAGCTACGTAAGGATCAGGCTTGAACTCCTCCACCGACTTCTTCTTTATAATTTTATAGAAAGTTGGTCTGCAAAATATCAAAAGATCCATGATCTTAATTTCTTAAAACAATAATTGTTATCTAAAAAGAAAACTACTTCACAAAATGTTGGAATAAATAATCACAATTGTGTAAACAATTTTGGTGTATCAATCGTAAATTGTCTTGTATGATAAATTTAAAAATAATATAAAAACAAAATTCTCAATAAATAAAGATGCATAAAAATTAACTCAAAATTTTATACATTACTATTTATAACACCACTCCACATTTCGTACATCAAAATATAAAATATTTGTAAAGGTGTCAAATTTTTTTTTTGTATAATATCGTAATTGAATTTTTCATTGAAAGCTTTATCTATGAATCTTCTATGCGTTAAAGATAGCCGCAACTAACCATGCAACCATACGTACATACATCAACACACAACATAAAATTAAAAAAAAAAAAAAAAAGTAAACTGAGAGGGAGTGTGTTTAATTACGCTGGTGACAAGAACAAACCAAAGGAGATAACATTTCCTGCACACAAAAAAAAAAAAAAAAGCGATAACGATCAGACTTCAAAACACATATACATAAAACACAAACTATAGCATTAAGCACTGAACAGAATAATATATCTCCTCTCCTTCTACTTATTTTCATGCATTAATCGATTAAATGACAAAACTAAGATAAAATATTATAGATATCGACATATCGTCAGTATTCTTCTTTGATCGGAATCGGAGATTTCAATCATATGCGTTTTCACGTTTAATAAAATCCGCCATTACGCATTTTGGTGTAGTTGCGATTGAAGAAGAGAACGAACCTATGATGCCAATGACGTTGCGAATCACTGAAGCGTTCACCATTTTCTAACGCAACACAGAGAACAGAAGGAGAGATGAAGAGAGGAATAGAATAGAATGAATGCTTTTTGAGTTCTGAAAGTCTGAAATCGAAGCAGAGAGGGTTTCCTTTTATAGCGATAATTTTATTTGATTATTTTTATAGATATAATTTACTAACAATATGATTATCGTCGTTGTTTGATCAGAGATAAGTTCCGTTGTGAAAAGATAAAAATCCTCTCGAATCTTCAATCTATTATTATTGGCGCTTAACTTGAACGATTTTTATCTGCAACAAAAAAAATATATTGGGAATTAGCTGGAAAAAACTTTTCAAATTCTAAAAAAAACACAGAAATAAAAGATAAACATATAAACTTCGGTTGATTTAGTTTTTTTTTTCCTCATGAAAAAATATTTTTATTTTGAAGGAAAAATACTTTTGAAAGTTTTCAGCGTGTTTGCTTAAAATTGTAAAAAAAAAAAAAAATCATTGTTTTGAGAAATTACTATGAGTAGAAAAAAATTGGAAGGTGAATTTAATCTTTGTAAAATAGAAACGTGAACGCTACATAAAACAGTGGGTGAGAGGATAAATATATTACAAATAGTGATAAAGGCTGATTTCTAAATAAGGTAGCAAATGATGCTCCATTATTTGAAATAAAACAATCCAAATTATAATTGATTTGTTGCACCAGATTTCTTGAATAACGGCTGATTTGTTTTTGATTTGTAGCAATCTGTTTCATTAATAATAGTTGATTCTATTTGCTCTTTATCTGTCAATTTAATCCCATTAATTGTGTCTTGCTTGATATTGTTAATATCCTCCCGCAAACGAGGCTGAGGTTGAAGGCAGAGTTTGGGAACATAGGTTTAGTAAAGAGATCTGCAACTTGATGATTGGTGGGGACGTGGCGAGTGACAAGAAGACCAAGAGCAACTCGTTCACGAACAAAATGATAGTCTAGTTCAATATGTTAGCTTTGGGCATGAAAGACAGGAACTACAAAAAAAAGTCAATTTAGCCACCAAAATTAGCGACCGATTTTTTATCGTCGCTAATAGCGACATAATTAGCGACCGAATTTGATTTGGTTGCAAATTTTATTTAGCGACCGAATTTTTTAGTAGCATATAATCGGTCGCTAAATCGGTCGCTAAAATAATAATTGTTGATTAAAATAGCGACGGAACGATTTCAATCGCTAAAAAAATAAAAAAATTATTATTTATAATAATTTGAGCAACCAAATTAAAATCGGTTGCTAAAAAAATAAAAAAAAAATATTATTATTTATAAAAATTTTAGCGACTAAATTAAAATCGGTCGCCAAAAAAATAAAATATTATTATTTATAATAATTTTAGCCACCAAATTAAAATCGGTCGCTAAAAAAATAAAATAAAAATATATTATTTATAATAATTTTAGCGATCAAATTAAAATCGGTTGCTAAAAAAATAAAAAA